GGGGGGGATCCAAAGGCCTTGAATTGCAAAAGAGAAAAGATAAACCACATTTTAAACTTTGGCATGTTGAACAGATGCAGTCACCGAAAGCAAAACGCCCCTTCTGCAAAGATTTAAAAAAGATTTATAATAGCATCAAACAGGTAATAACCTAAAATTAAGATCTTTTAGTAACACATTGAATCAAAGAAAGACCAAACCCCAGTCATGTCTTTAAACCCCCCCCCCTTTTTTTTTTATTAACAATGAAACACTTTTTATCAGACCTTCTGAGCTGTGTTTAACAGTAATTGCTACTACACCTGATAAATGAATGTTGCTGTTATTTTCCAAGCTACTCTACCTAAGAATAAATGCAATTTAAGACCTTTAAAATTTGGTGCTTTTTACTGTTTTAAGACCCACGGCCACTGTGAATAATCTTTAACACTTACCATCAGCTGCCTGGTAATATTAGTCCTTCAGCTGCACTTAGCAGCAACACACAGGGCGCCCCTGTGCAGTACTGCACAGAGCAAACACCGCCATCTGCTGGGGTGGACGTGGTTCAGCTGGTCACTAATAAGAAGAGCCACCACACGCTTGTATCAAACTAACATCTTCTTTTATTTGTATTGAAGGTTACAGAGCATCAGGTCTTTTTGTTTTCCTATCAAAATAAGTAAATCAAAATTCAAGCAAGAGTTCAATAGCTTCTTGGGGGGTGGGATAAGTGGGTTTGTACAGTAAACATATGACAATATTTAAGTTTTTAAGCTTTAAAGTTTGCATGTGATGCATCTAACCTGGTCAGTGTTTCCGTTTGAGATGGATGAGGCGAACGCTCTGATGCATGACTTCAGGGGATGTGCCTTTTGACATGTTACTGATTCAGTGAATCGTTTCAGATCCATTTTTAATTTTTTTAATTAATTTACTTAAATTTTTCTACAGGTGTTTGGTCCCAACAACACATATATGTCCGTTCGTGAATCAAACTTAGCATCTACTCTCTTTGGGAATGCAAAAATATACAATCACACACGGGAGAACTACACAAAAAACAACAAAAAAACCCCAGTTAATGATCCTCCAGGGTCTTTCCCCACATTGAAAACTCAGTCACAGCGTGGTGTGACTGCCTGTACGTGTGTTCGTGTGTTCGAGAGTGTCTTAAAGATGGGGGAGCACAGATGCTGATGCTTGGAGATGAGGTGTGAAGGAGAGAGGGCTTGATGAGTCTATGATCGCTTTTTTCTGCTCTCAAAATTTCTGAAGTTGGCCGGCCTTATCTTCATCTCTGCAAACTGGATCGAGTGTTCGTGGCCCTTCCAGTGGAACCAGTTGATCCCCTGTGGAAAAAACAACAACAATCCCCCCCCCCAAACAATACAAATCATCAGCTTTTCCTAAACTGCACATCCAGCAGTGAGCAGGGAGCAAGTTTCACTGGGAAAAATCTGATTTTCTCATTAGATAATTCAACTGCTTATGGCTCGTGTTATGGTTTACCACTTCATTTTCTGCGATGCGTGTGAAAGCGTTCGTACCTTACTGTGACTTTTGTCGCCATATTTCCCCATGAGGTTGACACGGTGACAGTTTTTATACCAAAAGGCGCCTTTGTAGGACAAGGCGCAGTTGGTCACAGCGATATCGTTATCATTGTCGTAAGTGGAGAAGGGCCGACCCTGGTGGTAGGTCATGGAGTCACCTGGTGGACAAATGAGTATTATTCAGTTAAGGCAGTCTGATGAGCTTAACTGGATTTGTCAAAGTGACTTTTCTTAGAAATAATTTGACATTCTGGGAAATACGTTCAGTTTATTGCCAAGAGTTTAATGAGAACATTCGTCACTGTCGAAATTGCACGATTTAAAATGCAGGATTAAATTATGTCTTTAAGGAAACAGCTGTGAGCTTGTTTGTACTTCAAAAGATAAACCCAAGGTTTTAAGACAGAAAACTTCTTTTGAAAAAAAAAAATTCCCCCAAAAATTCTTTTGAATTATTTGTTGTTGTTTTTTAATAAACTGTGCAGACAAAATGTGATCAAAACGGGAATAGTGTCCCATTTTCTAGTATTTCCAGATTATGTCTTTTTTTCTTCTTCTCCAGTGCATTCAATACCATTGTACCCACAATCCTGAGGGACAAGCAGGAGTACACAGGTGTCAACCAACACCACGTGGATCCTGGACTACCTGGCAAGGTAGTCCATAGTGCCATCAGTATGTAAGGATCCAGAAGTGTGTGTCTGATAGGGTCTTCTGCAGGCGCCCCTCGGGGAACAGTTCTATTCTATTCTCCTTATACACCACAAGACTTCACCTGCAGCTCTGATCACTGCTTCCTGCAAAATTTCTTGGATGACTCAGCAGTTGTTGGTCTGATAACAGGGAGTACAGAGAAATTACTTTGTTGACGGGTACCAGGAGAACCGCCTACAGATCAGGTACAAACATCCTCGACTTACACCCGTGAACATCCAGGTAATGGATGCTGAGCGCATCGACTTATATAAGTACCTAACACCCTAACTAGACTGGATTAACAATACAAAGGCCATCTGCAGGAAAGGACAGAACAGGCTGTATCTGCTATGGAGAGCAGGGGCATCTCTTGAGGACCTCCTATGACTCTGTGGTTGCATCGACCCTCACTTATGGTTCGCTCTGCAGGGCAGCAGTATCTGCTCTGGAGACAGGAAGAAAATGAACTGGCTGATCAAGAGGGCCAGCTCTGTTCTGGGATGCTAGCGGAGGTGGTGGGTGACAGCAGAATGGTGGCTAAGCTGTCATCCCTGCTAGAGAACACCTCCAACCCCCAGGCAGGTCACCCTGACAGCACCGAGCAGCTCCTTCAGTGACAGGCTGCTGCACCCACGGTGTGCAAAGGAGAAATATCCGAGGTCTTCCTTTCCAGCTGCTGTCAGACTGTACACGTGAAAATGCACCACACACTGTACATATTTCTGAAATGCCAAGTGTATCACTGTATCACATCTACATCTACATATCCATATATATATATGTAAATAATATTTCTTCTGCTTTGTATAGTTTATACATTGTATACATTTGTCTTCCGTTGTTGTTTCATCTATTTATTCCTGGTCTCTTCGTTCTGCTGCTCTAGCAATCTGAATTTCCCAACAATGGGACTAATAAAGCCTCTTATCTTATCTGGTTTTATCTTATCTTTCGTGGTGCTTACGTCTGAATCACTGAGTGTCTCAGGATCATAAGATTTTATGTCCCTATATTCACTTTATTAAACTTTAAAGACGGTGATATAGCTGCTGAGACAGTTGTGTTCAGTGCAGTGCCCTCGTGTCTTGGCTCAGACTCACTGATCCGGATCAGTGGGTGTGATCCAGACCTCTGTGTGTTCATATTTGAATCAAACTATCAGCCAAACTTTTACAAAGAACTTGTGAGCACCAGTGGTGTTTCTCCATTTCACAGCCAAAAGCTACATTCACGAGTGTTAATATATGACGAGAATGGAACATTATTTTGACACAGGAGGAGTTACGAGCAGAAGACGCGCCGCGAACAATAAAACCTTTTATGAAGTTTCCGTTTGTTTTGACGAGCCAGCTATTTCACGTGGTTATTAAATCCTTTGAAGGTGATCAAAATGCTCTTTTCAGGGATTTCTCCTGTGTCATCAGAACAGATCGAGCAACCAACAAAAGTGCTAAACAAAAAGAAAAATTTATATTGTGACACTCAGAGTGAGTGTTTTTTTCCAACCTGGATTAGTGTAAACTTTCAAGCAAATACTCTGTAATTAATTGGCTGTGAGTCAAAAAATATTGACAGTATAAACATAAAATTTGGCTTCATTAAATAAACTAGACAAAAAAAATCTGCTTATTCTGAGAGGTTCAACTGAACTGAGCCTTTATTACACTTACTGGAAGGAAACAAGAGTGAATACCCTTCTCTTGTCTAACGTTAAAGTACAAAGTTAATACTCGTACTCCCCAACATGTCAGGCTATTTCATTAAAGTGATACCAACCTGCTGTTCCACTATATGTTCCTATGTAGATTTTATAGCGTGTCCTTGGCTCCGCAATTGTGAACTTGTCATATTGCGCGTAGGCGGTCTCCCCGTTGTCCCTCAAGTCCACTCGCAGCTCATAATGGCCTGAAGATGTGATTTTATGGAGGTTGGAGAGACCTACAACCCAAGTTTAATATGTGTGAGTCAGGAGGGCAGTGAGCGAGGGAAAGAAAGCAAATACGGCTCCAGAATGAGCGAGCTTACCCAGCCAGAACTCATCGTTCATGTTACCAAAGCCAGCCGTGTAGTTCTTCCAGTTCCTGAAGAATTCCAGCTTTCCATTCTGGCGTCTGAGGAAAACCTGAAGAGTACCGACTCTCATGAGTGTCAAAACAGCTTCACGGCAATCATAAGAAGCTAGGCTAAGGCCACTGTGGTGCTGTCTATCATTTGTCATCAGAAAAACAGGTGCCACATAAGCAGAATCATCAGGATTCAGCTTGAATAATGGTGTGAAACGGGCTTTATTTGGATTCCAGAAGGCTGATTTCCTCACCAGCCATCCTCCGCCATCTGTGGTCATGTCACAGTAAACCTGGATGGGCTGGCTCTCCTCTCCTCCAATATAGATGGTATACAGACCAGCGGTCGTCTCTCCGTTCAGTAATATCTGAGCACAGTCCCGTGGGCGTCTGTACAACTGTCCGACTGAAAAGCACATATTAAAAAGGCATCGCGTTAGAGACCCTGAAGGATGCGCTCACTTATTTTTCGTCCCTGTTAAATAAACAAGGCATGAGGCTGTATATAGCATCCTGAGAGAGGACTACGGAACGGGGGAGGGCCAAACAAAGGAGAAAGAAGGTTATTCCATCTGGAGCTCAGACAGAAAGAAAAACAAGCACAGGTGATCTGGCTCCAATATCAGTGCAAATGAAAGGAGTGCACATTAGAAGATCTCTTTCTAATGTGCATCTGGACTGTTGCATAACAGCCAAACCCTTCACTTCTGAGAAAGCAGCGACAAGTCCAGTGCTCCCAATTTTCAGCTATACGTACACATTAATTAAGAAGAGGTTTGTGTGTGTTTTAATGCTTACGGGTAGTGAAGACGGTGGCCACGTGGCGACTCCTCTGGGCTCCAGCGGCAGCCTGCAGTCTCACATTGTACTCCGTGGAGCCAGTGAGCTGCGACATGCTGTAAGATGATGCTGTTGGGCTTAGCATCACCTCCTGAATTCATGCAAGACACACACAATATTTACACCAATGGCATTTCTTAACTGATTACTATAGCGGCTCGAAGTGCAGGACACAGAAACATTTCAGAAAACATGACAACACCATGAACATTGGAATGGATTGAACCCAAGAGCATTACGATGGGTTGATGTCATTTCCTTGTTCTATACTATTCCCTCAAACTGAAAGAAAGAAGACGAGATTGCAAGCGTAAGGCAATATTTTAACAAAGAACACTGATAAGCTGGATTTCATAAACTACAGATGGTGAAAAAAAGGAGAAGGAATCCTGCACTGTGTCTGTTTCTGTTTCAGGGCATGCAGCTCTTGGAAATCATCCAGAACTCATCATGATATCATTTCTTATTGTTTGTGTTTTTTTTCTGTTTTCTGAAATGTTGTGCAAAATGCACATTAGGACCTAACAATCTATCAGAGCTCCAGATTTTACTTTTTAAATTTCACAAATAAAGGTTTTCTCAGCAAAGAAGCCTTGCAACAGCGATAAGAAAATAAACCCCTTTTAACAGGAAGACATTGGCAGACTTTGTCTCAGGCAAGGCAAGGAAACAGGACAAAAAAGTCACTGTGGAGAAGAGTAACTAAATGCAAAATGGAGAGTGAAAAGAGAAATTCTCAGAGCATTATGGGAAGCCCCCTGCAGCCCAGGCCTATTGCAGCATAACTAAATGATGGGAAATTTGCGCTTTCAACGACAGTTAGAAAAACTGGAGAAACACGGCAAAACCTATCTGTTGTCAAACGATGAAATGACACGGGCATGTACGTACCCTGATTGTTCCATCAGCAGAGGAGAAGCTGAGCATATATCCAGTGACAGCAGCATGAGGTGGTCTCCACTTCAGAGTGGCGCTGTCAGTTTGAATATTCATAGCTATCAGATCGCGAGGAGGGTCCACATCTGCAAATACAGCATCACATTAATCATTCGGTACAGCTGATGTGGTTAAGAAATCAGCGCATGTTGCTTAAGGTTATATTGACGCTGATATACTACATATAAAAGATAGACAGAGACGTGGGAAAACCAGATGTTTCTATGGCAGGATTTTTTCAATCACAGGCAGATTCACCTCGAAGAATAAGCTACTTTTAATCTTTTTTTTACTCTAATGAGGCCCCTAAATTACAAAAACAAGACTTTAAATTAGCAAATGAGACCATAAACACATCAGGAAACTGTTCATAATATGGCTCAGAAATATGGGTGTAATTAAATTGAAGTTTGCTGTATTTTGTTTGAAATTACAATGTTATTATATATACAAATTCTTAAAGCTAGGTACACCAGAATAATGTGGTAACAAGTCAGTCTTTAACAAGAAACAAAGAAATTATTTTAATTTGTGGAAATTTAAGTAATGTGTAAGTAATGTTAAGAACTGCTACAGTTACAGAAAATGACATTGAACAAATTATGGTTTCGGGGCTGGAGTCGGCAGATAGCCAATTGGATCCTCCGGCTCAGTGCTGGTGAAATTGTTTTGGGTCTTCCACTTGACTTTTTTGTTCCATAATCCTCAGGATCATTTAAGAAATTCCAAATAACTGTCCTACTGCGTCCCACCTCAGCAGTGATGGCGCGCTGCGAGAGATCCTGGTTATGCAGTTTAACAACCCAACTATGTCCAAAAAAGGAAAAATTTTTTGTCTTTGCCATGAGAACGTCATCACAGTGTGACTACCTGCCAAAAAATGACAATGAATCCACATTTTTGCACAGATTTGGCCTTTTAAAGGCATGTGGTCCTAAACTTTTGATCAGCTGTAAAGCAGCCTGCTTCAGTTTAAGCGTTGTTGTCAATAAATTGCATGCTCAAAAACATGTTTTGTCTCACTCCCATTTCTTGTTGTTGCATATTGAAGTTCTTCTTGGAACCTTGTTAAGATCCAACCATGCAAAATAGGATTTTCTGCCATTTTTCCAGTGGTCTTAAACTTTTGACCGTGACTGTATAATTAAATTAGAATTTCAAATAAAATACAGTGAAATTCCATTTAATTCCAGGGAATTACATCTTTAGTAACAGGCCATATTATAGAGTGTTCCCCATCTTTTATATTAAGCAATACTTTTATACAATCTGGACATCTTTCTGTGTTTACCTGTGGTGAATTCGGTAACAGCAGAAGCACTCCTCTGAGCTTCTTTCATAGCATGAACTCCCACGGTGTAGTGGGTTGCTGGAACCAAGGAGTTCATCTCAAACTCCACAATGTTCCCAGAAACGTGCTCCACTGTTGGGGACACTATAGGGCAGGAATTAAATTATGCAATCAATACAAAGTCAGTTAAAATGAACAGAAAGCAAGCTCGTTTAAACTCAGAGACACACCAGAATCAGCACTGTAGGTAATGATGTAGCCATCAACAGTGGCGACAGATGGTTGCCACAGCAACAGGGCCGAAGTGTCCGTGACATTGATAACAGTAAGACCACGAGGTCTGTCCAAACCTGCGGGGTACGAGGAAGATCACAGAGAAAATGTGTGGGGTCAGTACATTTTTAACTGACTCCAGTATTGCCGGAGTCAAGGCTGCATAAGAGAAAAAAGCCAACCTGTGGTCACAGTGTCTGTGCTGGGGTCACTTTCCTCCAGACCCTTCAGAGCACTGACGGTTACTTGGTACGTCTTTCCGGGAATCATATTGGGAAGCAAAGCCTCGAACACGCTGCCATCTACAGTCAATGTCATTGGGCTTCCTGTGGGGGAGAGAGAACAAACACATGTACTATTGATTCAAAGACAAGCTTGTCAAGAGGTGTCAGATTTTATCTATTGGTGTATTTCCACTGTACTGAACAAGATGTACTAAAGCTCTTCACGTACTTTGTGGTGGGTGGTGATAAATGTTTGAGTACTGGAGATTGAGGCCAAGAGAAGCCTTTGTAAGGCTGAGATAAATGCTTACGTCAACTAAAAAAATGACAAACTGATTGCAATCACAGTGCGCCGTATTGCTAATGATAGTGTATTACTTTCATTACTCAAGAGCATGGTCCTATAATTTATGATTTAAGATGATGAAGTGAGCTTCCTCAAAACTAGCAGCTAAAAACAAATTTGCTCTTGCTCCAAACTGCATGTCTGTACTCTGTAGATCAGGCGTGCGTAGATTTCCTGTGTTCAGCTTCTCATCCATGCTCATGTACTCACAAATCATCTTTGTGTGCTATGAATCGTGACACAAGAGCTAAATACATGCATACAAAATATTTTTCTTTTTTCTTCGTTTTATCATTGTTACACTATGTGTTTTATTCTATTGTTAAGTGTCCTTGGGTGTCTTGAATAGTGCTCTTAAATAAAATTGATTAATATTATTATTAATAATACCTTGTTTGGTATTTCCTTTCTATCTGTTGTTATCTAATAAAAGCAACAATCATTAAAGAGGATTTATTGCATATTTCATTAGTGGGCTCCATTGATGGATATTAAATATGGCTAAAGTTTCTAATAATGTGGTCAGTAGATTTGTAAGTAATCCCTGTGAGTCAAAGGCTCAGACTTCAGACTGCACAAAACGCTGTGGTTGTGACGGTTTAAACAGTAACCTTACCCACCTGCTGAAAGAAAGTTGGCTTAAAGGGAAGGGACCTTCTTTCACAGACTGGGTGAACTGAGGGGCTGCATCAAGTAAATAACTATTATATTGAACTGAATCATGCACAACTACTCTGGCAGAGTGGATAAAAAAATATTGAGCTGGAAATTGGTCTTCTTAAAAAAATATTTTTATAAGATGAAAAATCTCCAAGTAGTGCAGTGCCAATAGTATCAAATGATGTTGACAGTGAGACGTTCCCGGTTAGCCTGAGCAGGTATTTTACCTTTAAAAGGGTTTATATTTCCTTTCTTTCTGAACTTTGATATATAGCTCCCTCTTGTACAGATTTTGCATTGACAATAAACATATTGCACCATTTTTAGAATAGCTCCACAACTATGTGACTCTGTCACTGAACTATGGTAAAAGGTTGACCAGCAATTGAACCAAGGACATGCTGTTAAAGGCCTTCATTTCATCTGGTGAGCCCACTAACCAATCAGCTGTCAGAAAGAAAGGCAGGATGAAGGGCTATAGCAGAAGCACAGGAACTCTGTACAAGCAGCACATGATAGGCATGTGACTTGAGTGCAGGCGTGCAGCTTTGAGCAAGAGCAGAACAAATCTGCATGCAGGGAGGGATCATTTCAGTTCTGGGAAGATCACTGAGTAGCTAATGATGAAAATGACAGCACACGTTTTCAAACAAAAGAACCATCCTCTTGAATAAAGAAAAATAATTTTCCTCAAGATATTTACAATGTTTGCAATCTTAGATTAGCATGTTAGAAGTTTTGCTCCTAAGCCTGATGGGGAATGTCACTGACATGGATTTAAAAAATCATGGAAAATTTACGTTTTCCAGAGACTAGAAAAGCATCAGTATCACTGATGTCAGAGGAGTTGATACATTTTTTCAGATTTATTGAAAAGTGATATCTATAGACTTTTTGATATTTTATACATTTAAATGTATAAAATTCATTGTTTACTGGACCAAATGTTTGCCAGTGTGACGCCATTAGCATGGTAACGCACCAGAAGTACCAACAGAACATCAAAAAGATTTTAATTCACTATTATCTTGAACGGTGCATTAATAAATAAATAAAAAACCTCGACCAAATAAGCATTAATAAATGTCACTGATCTGTACAGAATTCAGAATTCATCACACCTGTGAGTCAATGTGCATTGCACAGCAGTATTTTAACAGAATGTCAGCCATTACTGTAGTTCGAACAGTATGGAAACACGAGAGCACACAACAAATGACATGCAAATAAAGTCCTCAGCGGTCCGCCTGTTTTCAGTACTTAGCAGCGTTACACTGAGCCTAGTTTAGCGGGTTTGCTACCTGGAAGAGAGTCGCTCTTCTTCACATTCTGACTGTGTGAGAGCTGCACAGAGAAGTGAACGCTGTTACTGAAAGTCTGTTTCTGAAAGTGAAACTGAACTGATAAGTGGATTATTTTTGATATTATCACATGCATGTTTCTGACATGTCAACATCAGTATATCTGATGAACACGGACACAACAACGAAGCTAAAATTAAAACTGTTTAATTAAATTCAACCTTAAATGTAACTTGTATAAACAATGATTGACCTCTTACCTCCTTCAAATGGCACATAGGTGATGCGGTAGTTATCCACCGGAGAGCGAGGCATGGACCAGTGAACTACGGCTGAAGAGTCAGTCACTTCAGAGAAGTGAAGTCCTCTGGGAGTGCTGAGGCCTAGCAAAAAGCAAATGGATTTGCGCAGAGAGCAAAAAAGCAAAGTAAAAACTGTAAGTATTGTAAGTAAGTATGTGAAAACACAGTTTTTCCCAAAAGGACGTTTTTCGACAGACGTGAAGTTTCAAAGAAACCAGAGGAATAAAGATGATTAGTGGGACACTGAGTTGAGTTCTCTGAAGTCGAATGTCGCACTGAAAACTCAGAAAGTTTGGTAGTTAACATGAGACTGCACCCTCTACAGTTTTTCAGTATACCTGTCTGAACAACCCCTGTAATAGGTTGGGAGCGTCGATCCAGTGTGGCACCGTAAAGCTCGATTTCATACTCGGAGCCACCCATAAGTCCGGTTATGACCTTGGTTCGTTCATCGCCGCGGACGCTGTGCTCTTGAGGATGGGCTAACCTTTTGCTGTCTCTTATTTTGATCACAAATCGGTCAAACAGATCTTCATTGGCAGTCCACGTCAGACGGAAACTGTCAGCTGTGACGTCTGAGACAAAGAGATGCTCCACTTCTGGCTCAGCCTCTGGTTAAACAGGGAAACATTAACGTTGCAGCGCGTCTGGTGATTTCCCAGCAATATTCATCACGTTCTGAGAAACACCCACAGGGATCAGTTTGGAAGAGGTCAGAAATCGGGCAAGACAGGATTAGGTTCCAGCCTGAGGGCCTTCTTGTCCACCGCCACCAATCTGCCATGCTTAGGCATCCATTAGTGTTAATCAGTAAAAAATACAGCGCATGGACTACAGAGGCATACGCTTGAATGAAAAGACAAGATGCTTTTTGTAGATGTCAGTCAACAGAAGGAGTCTTTCGGAAGGATTTCAGCATACACTTGTTGAAATGCGTCCTCAAGGCCAGCCTGGATGCATTCAGTGTATTTAAAAGTAATGGCAGGTGACAAACGAGATTAGAAGCTAAATCAACAGACATTTCATGCTCAGAATATCTGCTGATTTATCCGTGTTTTCCTGCATATGAAAATGTCATTTTCGATTGAGTGGTTCATATCCATCCAGGGAGTTTGAACCTGATCTACAAACCAGCCTCACTAGGGAGCAACATGGTGCAATAATTGGATTTTGTCCATAGATATCTGTCTGACTATCAGCGATTAAAAATGTGAAGGAAAACACATTTTAAAATATGAAGACAAACAAATGTGCTTGCTCATATTTTGGAGGTAAGAAGAAACAGACGGGAGCTCAACACCTCTTCCTCTCGGTGACACAGCTGCATACCAAGGAGATGCTTAAAACCAAGGAAAAAAGTTTATCTGAGTTAGGGTTAGGTAAGAGTACTGAACTGAAGTCTCACCATCAAAACGTGGCACTGAGTTAGATGTATCCGTCCTCAGGCTAATTTTGTTACACAATGTCTTTTGTTGCGTGAAATGAATATCAGTGATTAGTAAATATCACAGAACTGCACCAGGTTGTGATAGTGAAACTGCAGAGCTGAAATGGTTATAATAGTTATACACGTATACACCCATGGTAGCTTCAACAAAGTCAGACACTGGACTTTGTAGTAAGACAGGAGGGCTTACAGTGCACTGAGTTGTACCTGTCACAGCCACTGCAGTCAGAGGCCGAGAGAGAAGCCCTGACTCTGACACCCCTGTCAGTCGGACCTCATAGCCTATGCCGGTAATGAGGCCCCCGATGTCCAGGTGACTTTGGTTTCCTGGCACAGTGAACTCCTGAGCCTTCAGCAGCCAGCCAGAGTCTGTCACCACTATGTGGAAATGGCTGAAGCCACCACTAGAGGGGGTTAGATTATCCTGCGGTAGCTGATGCTTCACCCCCCACGACACACGGAAGCCATAGGGGGTTATGTTGGAAATGGTCAAGTTTTCCACTTTAGGCAAAGGAGCTGAGAGGAATGTGGGTTTAATTGAATGGGAGGAAGGAGTGTGTGTGGGGGGAGGGGGAAGAGCAGGAGGGGGACGAGACTTCATTAGGAGGATAACGTGTGCAATGGTTGCAAAAGCAAATACAGACACAGTTCTTTTACAAGGTAATAGTTATAGGCCAAAACACACTAAGGGCAAATCTAGCATGCATCATAATTTAGTACTTTGTCCTCACACTATCTAAAGTGGCAAACACAGAAGTGCTAAAAAATGCAGTTCCTTGAATGGCCACTTAAGTCTGAGTTAGAGCACGAAACAAATGCAATTTTGGTGTCTTTGTGTATTGGTTTTCTTCATGACAATTGCACGTACGTTGCTCACTTTGACTGGCAGATATGCTGACACAGGCGGTTGTAGCCAGCAGCCACTTAAGGCCCCAGTAACACAGTCCTAGAGACTTCTACTGGCAACCAATAGTTGCTGAGGAAAAAAATAAGTATTCCATTGCTGTTGGAAGTTGAAGCCCAAATTACATGGGTCTTAGAGAAAAATGCAAATTCCCTAACTGGTTTTCAGTTGGTTGTGGGAGGTGTTATTCCCTATTCCTCAATGCTTAATTGAAAGCCCCCAGTAGCCAAAGCTTCCTTAACTTGACCTGACCCAAACTATAAGGTTTTAAGCCTAATAAAAGTAGAGTAAGTGTCTATATACTGAATCCAAACTGAGAGCTGGTTCCATAGTAAAGTCTGATAGCTGAAGGCTCGGGTTCCGATTTTACTTTTGAAAACTGTGGGGACAATTTTGAGAGCAAAATGCTCTGTTAGGGTTAAAATATGTCAGGGCCTGAATATTCATTATTGTTATTTTGCGCATGACGGGAAGGATTTTAAATTCAGCTCTGAACAGACAGCCAACAAAGAGAAGCTATTATGGGAGAAATATCCTCTCTCCTTCTCGTCCTAATGGGTACTCTCACTGCAGTGGTCAACTGAAGGTTTTTGAAGGAGCTTTTAGAGTGACCTGATTATAATGAACTACAAAAGTCCAGCCTGGAAGTAATAAATGCATGAACTAGCTTTATCACTCTGAGACAGGATGATTCAGAATTTAGCAATATTGTGAAAATGAATGTAGGTAGTCCTCTACATTTGTTTAATGTGCATGCTGAAGGTGCCTCACAGTGTTACTGGAGGCCAAGGTAACGTCATCTAACGCAAATATCTGTTTTAGGAATGACTACAATTACCTCATTTTTATCTGAATTTAAAAGTAGGAAATTAGAGGTCATCCATACCTTTATGTCTGTATTTTATATTTAGATAAACCTGGGTGTCATCTGCATAGAAATTAAAATGTATGCAGTGTTTCCTAATAATAGGTATGTAAATGTAATTGGTCCCAGCAAAAAGTCCTTTGTGAATAACGTCTTTGTGGGAAGAAGACTAGCCATTTAGTTGAATAAATTGGAGTCTATTTGAGAGATACGAGCTAAATCACTGCAGCGTTGTAACTTTAATACCTGCAGCATGTTTTAAAATATTGCTGGACTGAGGTCTGACAGGACAAGCACAGAGATGAGCCCACTGTCAAAGGCCATATAAAGATCATTCAAAACCTTTAGTAGCTCTGTTTCTGTGCTATGATGCGCTCTAAATCCTGAATGAAACTCTTGAAATAAACCATTGATTTGCAAATGACCAGTTAACTGTTTGTCAGCTACTCTTACAAGAACTATTTTGAGGCCAAACAAAGATCTTCTAAATTAGTAAGATAATATTTCCTCTCTAACATTAAAGTGGCGCGTGGGAGGGCTCCACTTTGAGAGAAGCCACTAAAACCTAATAAAAAACTATATGAGGCTGTCATTTTGAACAACTACATGGATGTTAAACTTGCCTGAAATAATTGTTTTATCTGAACTTTTTATAAAAAAGATAAAAAGTCAAAGAAATCAACTTCAAATTCTGAGGACAAGCCAGGTGGATGATTATTAACACATAAAAATGGTTTATAACTTCTCCGGTTAGGGTGGAAAAGGTTAAGAGTCGGGTTTCTAAATTCTGTCTAGCTCTTTGGTTGTTTAATAAGTTGGAGTGAAAGATGGTTAAAAGGTGCATGTATCCATTACAAGCTGTTAGCGTATCCTAAACAATTATCCTTCTTTCTCACTATTTGAATGACCATTATTTTCAAAATGGGCGTAAAATATTCAGAATGGCTTGAAGCCCAAGAAGTTTTAAGTAAAAAGGTTTATTGCACTCATACAGGAAGAGGGCATTGTGCCATTTTCCTATTGAGTCTTGAGGCTTTTTGAAACGTGATGGTTTGCCCTCTGGTGGCCATTAAATAGAATGCAGGTTTAAAGCACTTCCATACTGGTTTCCCTAGTCAGGGGTGTTGAACTCCAGGCCACGAGGGCCGGTGTCCTGCAGGTTTTAGATCTCACCCTGGGTCAACACACCTGAATCAAATGAACAGCTCATTACCAGGCCTCTGGAGAACTACAAGACATGTTGAGGAGGTCGTTTGGCATTTAAATCGGCTGTGTTGGATCAAGGACACATCTAAAACCTGCAGGACACGGCCCCTCGAGGCCTGGAGTTCGACACCACATCTGTTTTAAACTGACTATGAATGTTTCAAGCATCAACAAATGCTTGCTGATTATGAGCGTCAGAAAAAAAAACCAAAAGCTGCTTGTGATGCATGTCTGCTTTGCTCTTAAGGTGTTTTGGGATTTTGACCTGCATATTGAATTCATTTAATTATTCTGCTAAGTTAAACTGATAAAAGAAGCTAAATTCCTTTTTAGTTTTGGTGGAAAAAAGTATACTTGAAGTATTAGAATAAAAGATATGAGTAAAATACGTTGTACCTGTGACAGCGTGGGCTAACACTGTGGGGGTGTGACGCCCATGAGAAATACCGTATAGTTCAATATCATAGCCTGTAGCATCCATCAGGTTAGTGACTGTAATGTTACGGACATCACCAGGCAATCTGAACTCCAGTGTCTCAGACTGCTGCTCAGAATCACTGACTCGGATAACAAAGCCATCAAAATGACCTGACACAGTGCTCCAGGACAAGCTGAGGTTATGTGGACTCGCAGATGAAGCAGCTATGGGCCCCAACTGTGGGATGTCCTCTGAATAAAAAAAGAACATGGCTTTTCAGTTATGTCGTCCTGCATACATGTACATAACAATGTAGGCGGCATGTCCAGTGTCAAGAAATGCAAGTCATGTGATACCTGTTGTAGCTACAGCAAATAGGGGTTGTGTGTTCTGGCCATCAACACCAGTGGCATACAGCTTTATGTTGTAGCCCGTGCTCGCTTTGAGCCCCGCCATTACTGTGGAGCGCACGTCTCCAGGCAGAGCGCGCCCCATTGCCTGCGAGGGCAAAGCAGACTCTCTGACTTCTACTATAAACTTATCAAAAGCCTTCTCTCTTGTCCGCCAAGACAGAGAGAATCTGTCTGAGGTAATGTTAGAAACAACTAGCTTGGACAAATCGGGCTCTTCAGCTACAGGGGAGAGAAAATATAAAATATATGCATTTATTAAAAAAAAGGATAACACATGTATTTGTCACTTTAAAACCCAAGTCAACTTTAGAGTGAAGGTAACAACAATTCTCTTGGAGACTAATGATTTGATACACATAAAACCGATTACCTGTCGATGCAACAATACTGACTGCACTCGTTCTGGATCCCTTGTACGTTCCATAGAGGTAGGCTATGTAATCAGTGCTGGGCCTGAGCCCTGTGACATCATAGGACTTTACATCATGGGATATGTTATACTCCTTTGGCTCCATCAGCCAATCAGAATCAATTATCTCCAGGACAAAACCATCAAACTCTCCTTCAGTGCCATTCCAGAGGATTGAAAAGCTCTCTGACGTTAAGTTCATGATATATATTTTGCCAACCACTGGTTGATTCACTAAAGAAAGAAACCATGATTAGATTGTCACCAAGGCATTTATGCAGAAAATGTTATTATTAAATGACAAGTAAATGATTAGAAATTGATCTTTTTCTAGAAAGGAATACATTTAGCGTTAAGGGACGCTCACCACCATCACCAACAGTAACTGTTGACAGTCTGAGAAGCTGTGATTAAATACATGCATGTATTTTTTTTTTTTGCATTAAACGCAAAGCAAAAATCCTGCACCACAGTTATTTAAACACAATTAGATTCAGGATTTTTTAAACAGAAACACAATCTTCACAATTCTAACTGTGGCTGCCACCGCAATAGGTTTGCAATACACAACCATGAGGCAACTGAAGCACAGACTTTTCAAATTTAATTCAAGGGGAACAAGAATGATGAGGTAAATATTAAAAATCCGCCTGTATCCTGCATTCCAAAAAAAGCTGGACCACTTCTAAAACTGAAAGCGTATGGAGATACCCGATGATTTCAAACATATAGAAACACCGTAAAACACAGTGAAGAGAGTATGTACAGCCATGCATGGTTTCTAAAGCTACCAGGCCAGACGTGTTTATTGCTAATGTGACCGAACACAGAAGCAGCTGGACAATTTCTGAAGTATGCAGAGCTTTACTGTCTCCGGTGATTCAGCCAAATGCAGCAAAGCTGATTGGATAGCATTTTACGGAGAATACTATGAAAGCAATTCAACTCAACATTTAAAAAGCACTGCGCATTAAAATGGCTGTGATTTCTCAGCTGTGGCAATGCAGCATTCTTGTTTCACCTTGTAAATTAAAGTTGAAAGTCTGTGTTTGAATTGTATCCCAGTGTGTCCCTTAATATTGCTTGTAGAGCCGTGTTCAAAATTAAGAGAATTGTGTCACTGTAAAAATTTTGGAAACCAAATATACTCTTTTCTTTACCTTGAATATAAGCAACATGTAAAGCCAAGGAGAGAAACTCAAAAGGCCTTCAAAATTACCTGCAAGTTTGAGTTGTTAATCACTGACTTAAATTTGAAAATGTGATTAAGCAGATTTCATGCACATGTAGCATGGTTTGGGCATGTTAATGCTGATCAATTCAATGCATAACGCGGCATCAAAGCAATTCAAAGCAGATGAGTTAGAGAGCTAGTTAAACTTCATTTACATGTTGCAGGAAATATAGTCCTTACATGCAAGCATGCACTCAAAACAAAATTCAGATGTAAATCGAGGTGATGCTACTGTTAGCTTCGTTTTATGTTATTAGCTTTTTACCTTGATAGTGACAAGAAGATTTAATCATTTGCCACCTAGCAGTCCAAAAGGAAATGACCTGTGTTTACTTTGATGTTCCGTGAAAATAAACTTCATCAGAATCCACAAAACCACCCCAGTGTCATTCACACAAACTGAAAGATGACATGGATACTCACGCATACTGTGAGCGCTTGCACATCGACGGGCAAATGATGGGTCATGGTTAATCAATTATACGCTGAATGAGGGCTGATGAGATGAAATGAGATTATCGCACCGTTGCTGTATGACTGGCGGGGGAGGCTGAGAGTTATTGGTTTGCTTTTGCAATCATTGCAGCACATCAGCGCCAGACCGGACCACGATGCAGGGATGGCAGAGGGGGGGGGGGCTTCATGCACTTTGGGATAAGGGGAGCAGTCGGAGGTAAGTCAAGGGGTTTGGGTCAGTGATGAGGCACATGTACGCATCACCCTGCCCTCTCTCAGCTAGACAGAATCAGTGGCTGGAGGGTGAGGAATGGTAAACGGCATGTTGGTTAAGATGAAGCAGTAAAGTGCACTGTGTCCAGGGTGTTGGACATTGAGGCCATAAACAACAATTGGGTTATTATCATGATGTTCTTGTTTCATGCTGCGAGGTGAAGATGCTCCACTGAGAGTGAGACAACAGAGCTATTTATGTGTATGCTTCACAGATGTTGACTTTAGTAGAAATTATTCATGGAAAAGAAGGACAGTTTAGAGGACAAAAGGCTGCAACGCTGCAAGTTGCAGGTACCTGTGGTGGCTTCACTGTACACAGGTTCAAGGAAGGAGCCCTGATACATCCCATACAGGCCAACCATGTAGCTGGTGTTGGGATTCAGCCCAGAGATACCCAGGCTCAAAGCGTCTCCGGACAGAGTGAGGTTCTGGCTCTCTGCAAAATTCTCCAGGTTTGTTACCTCAATCACAAAGCTGTCAAAGTCCCCACTCGTGGGGCTCCAGAACGCAGTGAAGCCATCCCATGTTATGTCAGAGATGGTGAGGTTCACCACCATTGGCGTCAGCATCTCTGGTAGATAGACATATCAGACTGGGGTCAGCTGGACAGGAAGATGGATTATGCATTTCATTTTAAGGCGAAAAAAAAAAAAAGGACATCAGGAGTATGAGGAGCACAGTGGGGGAAAAATCTCAGATTTTGAGATAAAATTGCAAACACTTGAACACATAAAAGTGATGATCACCTCTTTCATTGAATTTTGAGTGTTTTAATCATCCTTGTTACATCTGTGGTGCCATAGCAAATGAATGGGAATACACTCAACCTCCCCCCCCATTGGCTGAATGACCTACTGAACAACCCACTGAACGGCCCACTCAACTGAATTTCGTGGTGAAAAATGTTTGTGTTAATTTAAAACAGACCGCTCAATTTTGACCAGGAACACTAAAGTAAGGGGGGTGGGGTGCACAAAACTGGAGGGTTAAATTCTCCCCATCTTCTTGTCCCACCGAAGGGCGGAAAATGTGTAATTGGTTCTGTTTGCTTGTCTTTTGTCTGTCTGCCTGTTTGTTAGTTAGCAGTCTAACATCAACAGTTATCAAGATATTATTTTGAAATTTTGTCTAATGGTGGATACCAATAATAGCTTAAGCACATTTTTGGTGAAGGTCATGCCAAATATAAAAAAATCAGTAAAAACTTAATATTATGCAGAATTTTTTAAGGATTGACTTAAAACTAGTACCTAGATTGAAGCATTTGACCTTGACCTTTACTATTAGCGCCCAAGGACAAAGTTAAAATATTTCAAGAAGCCATGTCAAGTAATATATCATATGAACATCACAGGCTAACATCATCATGTTGTAATAAAAACACAATAAAGCATCAAACTTTTAGTATCGTAAGAGTCCTTTGAGGGACTTGTGAAATAAAATTTAAAAAATAAAATAAAATTCCTAAATATTGAACAATATTAAACTCTAATCATTTTAATCACAAAATAATTTTTCAAAAAAGTTTTACACTCTTAATTAAAATGTTTGATATTAAAGTATTGAATGTTGTATATTTGATATATTGCAGTATACTGTATATTTACAATATATTTGACATGAGAGTCAAAATTGAATACTAATATTTAATTTTGAGTTCATTATCAGAATTAAATAATATATTCTTAATATAATTTAAAGTATTCTAACTTTTAACAAATTCTACCAACAACATGTTAGAACTTTCCTTCATTTGACATCACTTTTATATTGTTCGTTTAAGTTAAACTAAAACAACTTTCAAAATTAGAAGTCTCTTTGTTAAATGCACATTAAATCTCAAAATCTCAGATTTTTTGTGGACCTAATACTTTGTTGTGAGGATTTAAAAGTTCAGCAAAAGACAAGATTAGATCAATGAGGATTATCTTTTACAATAAAACATGAAGTATCTGTGGAAAAAGAAATGATTGAACCATTCTGAAATGTTCAGACATAGGAGATAAAAGATATGATGATGATGGATTGAGATGAAGGGCTACAATAAGAAATATTTGTTCCATGTACCTGTAGTAGCAAAAACTCTGAGAGGTAAAGATCGCTCCCCTTCCACCAGCCCTTGCAATGTAATATCATAGTGTGTAGCAGGGGACAACCCTTCTATTTCAGCCTTCCTCATATTTCCTGGTACCGTGGTCACACGAGGTTGCGTTGTTGCTGACGGAGCAGTAAGCTCCACCAAAAAGCTATCGAACGCCTCATCGGGTGCGGACCACGCCAGCTTTACACTAGTGGCGGTAACACTGACTGTGAGATCCCCGAGTAGGTCCAAGCCTGAGCTGTCAGGCTCGGCACCGGAGCTTATCCCGCCAGAATCAGAAGTGGAAGTTACTTCATTATTTAGAGTATCGAGGATGTCTGGGTTTTGAACAGCTTCATTATCCGGAACAGACTGTAGGAGCGTTGAGGCATCTTTGATACTCAGCGTAAGCACATCTGGAGATGTGGGCTTGGGTGCTAAGTGAATAAAAGAAGGTTAAAGGATGAATTTCTTATTGGCTCTGCTGAAAACTGTAAAAAGATCATGTGAAGAAAAACAATGGGTTAACATAAAAATATAATAATTCTGCACAAAATGCTGCCCTTATTCTACCTGAATCATGGATATATTATGACGGCTAAATCATCAAGCCATTGCTAAGGCATTAATGACACCTGAAGCAGGGTCATTAACTTTCTGAAGACTCTGCATAGTCCACTGGTGTGAAAGTATACAGTTGTCTTCAAATTAAGTTGAAGCCATGCACAGCCACGTTCTTTCGGCTTTTGTAAAACACAACTGAGGAGTCTTAGTCATGAGACATGCAGGCGACCTGGTTTAATTTGCTATTAGAGAATCACTCATCTCTCTAAACGGGGTTAATGATGGGACAAGGCTTTAATTTAAAAGCTCAGGTACAAGAAGAAACTGGGACAACCAGCTAAGTAGAAAACCAGTGTGCTTGATAGCTTTTATAATCCAGGCTAGACACTGATGCCACTGTGGATTTCTTCTTGCATTTGAACTTTGGGAACCAAAGAATCAAACAAGATGGGTTTTTGTAAAAACAGAGACATTTGTTAGGTTCAAATGGACTCATGCCAAAGGTTATGCAGATGATGGTTTCAGTGAAAAAAAAGTCTTGTGAAATCTGGGAACAAAGAATCCAGCATGCAAGCCATATCAGTCTGGCCTCTAATCAAAAGCTTCCGCTGAAGGGAGAAGCTGAAAAACCCTAAGAGAGAGACTTATACCTGTGATTGCAACAGCTTCAAGTAGCGCAGCTCGTTGGCTACCTGTTATTCCATAAAGTTTTATTAGATATTCTGTCGATGCCGTCAGGCCATGGATTCTAGAGCCATGGGCATCTCCAGGAAGTTGAACCTCTCTCATGTCCCACAATCGCTGAGTGTCTTTATATTCTAGTGCAAAACTATCATAGACACCACGAGCCTTTAGTTTCCATGACAGATCAAATCCATCAGACGTGACACTTGAGACAGTCAGCACTCCAGGCTCATCCTCAGGCTCGGTCCCAGAAAACTGGGACTCGGAGGGGTCTAGATACACAAAGCTAATGACATTGTCCTCCAAGCCTGTAGGAGTCGCTAGCTCACGGTCATCTGAGTCAGCTAAATAAAATGTGAAAGAGGCTACAAGGAAAACAAGAAAATCAAGAAAGCATCGTTTAGTAACAGATGAAATAATAGTTTCTTGGTGCTGGTCGGCAGCAGATTTATTTCCAGCCAGCAAATCTCTACTTGTATTTCTAAACATGTACACAAATGATCATTTTCAAGCTTTCAGTCCTGGTTGCCTTGGTTACAAAGCTGCGATTAGCATTATATATGCAAAAAACGCAGCTGTTACTATAAACCAATCTTAATTAATTTTAAAAAAAGAATAGGAGATGGATCTTTTTACAGTGGTGAGCAACAATCTCAGGTTGTCCAATGAACAGTAAGATAAAAGAGAATTAATGATGCTGACACCCCTGAACTCCAACAGCTGAACCTGTCTGTAGATCCTTTTAACTTTAGCTCCTCGAAGAAATCCTGAAGAACGTAACAGAGCCTTTAACTAAAAATGCATGCGTTCTTATTCATTCTATTCATTTAAACTGTGGAAAAATGGTTCCCTACCCACCTGTGGATGTAGACAGGGAGACGGGTGTGCTCCTTTTGTGCCCCCTCTCTGCAGTCAAGGTAAGGGTGTAGCTCATCCCAGGAGTCAGATTGGGCAAATGATAGGTAGTCGTTGCAGCTGGGAACCCCACCTCCCCAACCTGACCGTCTCTGGAGATGTACACCAGTCTGTATCCACTGATTTTGGCCTGAGGTTTCTGCCACTTGACGCTGAGAGACGTCTCTGTGGATTCAATTTCCTCAAAATCTCTGGGAGGATCGAGGTCTGACAGAAAAAAGAGGTAGATAAACAGCTCATTAGTGTCATTTCACCACTCAATTTGTATCAACACATCCTATCTGTCTGTGTGTTTATGAAGCGGTGTGAAGGAGGAGTGTTTGGACAGCTGTTCAGCAGTGTCTCTCACCAGTTGCTGCGTTTGTGGTAGCTGGGAGGCTTTCTCTCTCATTCTTCACAGCAGTCACTCCAATCCCGTACTCTGTACCTGGCTTTAGCCCTGCGGTGCAGAAAGACGGAAGCTAAATATCCATGTTGGGTGACAAATGCAATTCTGGATATTGCATGTGTGTGGTCAAGCTTAATTTGTATTAATCCATGTGATACTTACTGGTGATGGTAGCCTGTGTGCTATCGCCTGGTCCTCGCTTGAACACTTCCTCACCATGAATTTCCCCAGAGATGGGACTGTATTTTACCCGATAGCTACTAATATCAGCTTCACTGTTGGTCCACTCCAGGGTGATGCTGTTGTCTGTCTGGGACACAGTCTGAAGGTTCGTGGGGGCATCCAGTGCTTACATAAACAGAGTTTCTTTCATTAATTATGTAATGACTTGACACTTGTTGACCTACAATCATACAATAAGCTTAAATACATACTAATACAACATTAGACTGCTCTAGTTTGTAGTGTACAAATGCATAGAAGTCTCAAAATATAACAATATAGTGAACCAAAACAGAAAATACAGTTATTATCACAAGACAACCTGTAGTGAATGTGGCAGTGACAGGGTCACTGGTGATGTCTCCACTCCTGGAAATGAGCGACACTGTGTACTCGGTGTCTGGCCTCAGACCATCAATGCTATACTGCTTGTCTGGGGGGGATATAGCCACACGATTTTCATCTGAAGGGTCAGAGCTGGGCATGTAAAACATGGTGATTCCATCCATGGGAGCCACTGGCTGAGACCAGCTGATCAGAGCCGAGGAGTCCGTAATATCCTTCACCTCCACCTGCTGAGGGCTATCAATCTCTAGATTGGGTAATTTGGTAAGAGAAGGAAAGTTGGATGAGATATAGAAGAAAAGATGCATGAAAAATGTGAAGAGTGGTAATTGTCCTAGAAACTGATGCATCCAGGGGTTATTTTTTTCTAGCTTAATATTCAAACATAATAACTTATTTGTAATCAATGTAAGCTGTATATTTGGCTCTATTTAGCTAATTTTGCTAATCATGCTAACCATAAGTTTGTATGGTGAACACTTTTGTTAAAAATCAGCAAGTTAGCACTGTCAGTGCAAAAATATTAAGTATCACTGCTGGTTTCCACTTTGGTTATCCTGAAGGTTAAAGGTATTTCGGCATCATAAAGTCATAGAAGATGCTAATACATGTAGCTTGCTAACCAAGCAACTGCTGTTCATGTTTGGCTAAAAAAACAGCACCAAATCGGTAACATCAATACCAATTCATGGCACCGCAAGCTATGTCCATCTCTTCTAGTGTCATCTTGCAAGCTAAAAAGTACCTTTCCAAAAAGTTATGTCTACCTTTGGTGTCAATAAGAAGAGAAATGTCTCTAACAAAGATTTAATCAGTCTCTGTATGTGTAATTCATTATCTAAAAATACAGAGTTCACAATACAAATTCACAAAGAAAACCTGGATAAAGAGATGTTAATCGTTGTTTTGTTTGTACGTGTTTAAACATAAAATACATCTTGCATAACTCAACTTGGATATCAACCACCACAACAGGAAAAGTCATTATGAAACATAATGTGATTCCCTTTAATTCTGACGTCATGTCACTACCTGACAAATCTCCTGTGTTAACATGTGGAGGAGACATTTTTCCTCCATATTTTGGATCCATGCTAAAAAAGGACCACTGGGGGTACAAGGGTATGAAAAGTTTAACCTCGCTTCTATCATTCCTCTGTGTCGACTTTCAGCCTATACAAATAAATGACATCAGAAACAAAACGGTGTGATACCCAGAGAGTCCATCAACACAGTCCTGTTAACTAAATGATTTTTCCATGCTCAAAGGAAGTTGTCTGGCTTGACGTGCCATATTGATGGCGTAAGGAACTGGAACCATTTCATAACTTAATGTATGGAGTAACTCGGCAATAAAAGTTTCAACGAGACAAGGACGAGAGCTAAGAGCAAAAGATTTATTGGAAGAGGAGAAAAAAAACAACTATGACATGGATATGCTATGCTCAGCTTCAATTAGTTTGAGTTATTACTCTTTACCCTGAATCTGTTAGATGGACTATGGAGAGCCACCTGGGATTTCTTCTTGTAGTTCTTCTTTTCTTTCTTCACTCTAGCTCACATTGCAGACACAGTCAAAGTGCAAAAGTACTAATAGCTGCCACATAGTGCAGGAAAATTAAAATCTTCTCTGACTCTAATGTGATGATTATGGTCGAGAGTTGATGATAGGCAGCCATAAACTGCATGACTGTAAATATTCTGTGTGCAGGAAACTCACTGGTAGTGAATGTTTGGGTTGTTTGGGGTCCTCTGGTGTTGTTCTTGATGATGTTGATGGAGACTTCATACTCCTGTCCTGGTCCAAGCCCTGATTGGAAGAATTGGTTCTGAGAGGGTGGAAGGGTGCTTGAAACTTTTCCATTTTCTTCTTTCTGTAAAAGTTACATAATATGCAAATTAAGTTAAAGTAGAAAATTTACATTAAACTTGACTGCTGTGAGAAAATCAGCTTTTGGCATTAAAACATGGTGTCTCTGTTTTAGCATTTTCATTACCGTTTAGGTTATGCTATGTTTAGTGTACCGCAGGCAGTATATTTCTTCATGCAAGGCACAAAAAGGCAGGAGCGGGAGCTTGAAGGTCAGAAAAGGACAACACATTTTAAGGCTACAGAAAATTAAAAGGATTTATCAGCTGGCACATTCATTCCTTTTCGAAGAGTTGGTTGGATTTTGCCTTGGTATCTCAGCAGCAGTTTTAGCCACAGTTCTATAACATCCCTCACTTTTCCATATGTCAAAGCAAATTTAATGGTTACCACTAAAATAAATCCTTGTATTGCTGAGACTTTCAATAAGCTGTCGTAGCTTATCACCTCTGACTTTTCCCCTGATGGTTAATAAAATGCAGGCAAGTCCTCAGCAGAGATGGGGAGACTCACCATGTTGCGGAAATAGATCTCCCAGCCATCAAAGGGGATGTCCAGCTCGTCCCAAATGACCTCGACTGAGGTCTCTCTTACTGATTTGAATCTTAGCCCTTCTGGCTGCGGAAGGTCTAGGGGGGACAGAGAGAGAATTAATAAATGTCTAGTATCTTTTTCTAACCATATTCACAGCAAGTGAACACAGAAACAAATATGGCATACCTGTGGCCACCCGTGCACTCACAGGGATGCTCCTTTTGTTACTCAGAACAGCGTAGACATTAATCAGATACTCAAGACCAGGCTCAAGCTCTTTAACAGTTGCAGCAGTTTTGTCTCCAGACACAGTGAACTCTTGGAGAAGACCGCCAGGAATTGTGGGCACATATGTGACGAGGTACTCTGTGACCAGCATCTCATTGTTCCAGGACAGGCCGACAGTCTCACTGGTGACCTCCCCAACAGTTAGGTCCTTTGGAGGAGATACTGGAAAAAATCAAGAAAAAAAACCAGCTGAGGGTGTTGTATTAGACATTTTCTCAGGCCCTCAAGTCAGTGAATATCAACCACGTAGAGCTAATGCAAACTCCAGACACACATCTGGTTGTGGTGTGAAGAACTGCCAAAAAAGCACACACCAAGTACAGACAAGGGCAGCACAAAAACCGAAACCCTCTTTTATATTCACCAGAATAGTTTCTTTCAAGAATAGTGGTGAGTGAATTTTGAGAACGGAAGGAAATTACATCACTCTGCATTTGCTTTTATGGTGCACTTAGTTAACACATGGAAACTTTCTAAAATTGTGAACTGTCAAATCCTTTTTTTTGTCTAGAGACTCTTACCTTGTGAGCAGTCTTCTCCGATGTATCCCTCATCGCAGACACACTGACCGTTCACACAGTGCCCTTTGTCCTGGCAGTTGTTGATGCAGCTCATCATTGCACAGCTTTCTCCTTCATATCCGATCTCACACATGCATCTTCCGTCGACACAACGCCCCCTGTTGTTGCAGTTATCTGGACAGGTGAGCACGGAGCAATCGTCTCCCGAATAGCCTTCATGACAAATGCACTCTCCGTCCACACAGTAACCCCGGGTCAGGCAGTCGTTGGGACAAGCTCTCTGACTGCAGTCTTCTCCTGCAAACCCTTCGTCGCAGACACACTGACCATTGATGCACCGGCCATGGTTCCTACAGTTGTTGGGGCAGCTCAATTCACTGCAGTCTTCACCAGTGAAGCCTGCGTGGCATAAACAACGCCCCTCGGAGCACTCTCCACGGCCGTAGCAGTTTGAAGGGCATGTGCGGATGCTGCAGTCCTCAGCAGCGAAGCCTTCCTCGCATACGCATTGACCATTGAGACAGCGCCCCCTGTGCAAGCAGCTGTTTGGACAGGACAGCTCGGAGCAATCGTCTCCCTGGAAGCCGACATCACACGCACACTGTCCATTTATGCACTGGCCTCTGTTGTTACAGTTGTTCAGACATGCCAACTGGCTACAATCTTCACCCTGATACCCTGTGTCACAGATGCACATCCCACTGAAGCAGGTTCCTCTACCGTTACAGTCATTCAGGCAGGTGAGCTGACTGCAGTCTTCTCCACTGTAGCCAGCTGTGCAGACGCACTGGCCATCGACACAGAAACCATTACCACGGCAGTTGTTGGGACAGATGCGCTCTCCACAGTCTTCCCCGGCGAATCCTTCATCGCAGTAGCAAGTTCCATTCAGACAGCGTCCACGGTCGTAGCAGTCTTTGGGGCAGATAAGCTCAGAGCAGTCAAAGCCAGTCCACGGTTCATCACACACACAGTCTCCGTCATCACAGCGCCCACGGCCTAGGCAGTTATTGAGGCACTTGCTCTGAGAACAATCTTCGCCAAAGAAACCATCCGTACAGACGCAAACGCCACCCACGCACTGGCCGTGCACGCTGCAGTCCACAGAGCAGGCCTCAAATGAGCAGTCTTCTCCAGCGAAGCCTTTAAAGCACTTGCACTTTCCATCCACACAGTGGCCTCGGTCCCGGCAGTTCTTTGGGCACTCGGGTTCGGTGCAGTTGGGTCCCTTCCAGCCAGGCTCACATATGCAGCCACAGGTTTCAACGCTGAAGTTTCCATGACCATTACAGTAAGGTTTTGTTCCCACTTCACCTTTAAAAAAAATGCAGCATAACAATGACAAATGCAGTCAGCTTGACATTTGGAGAAAGCATGCTTTTTTGACTTTCTTGTTGAGAGTTGGCAGTGAAGAAAGACTTTTCTGTATGCTATGAAGAGCCAACAGATGCATAAGCGAATGTGTATTTCCTAAAATGCCAAACTATTCCGGCTTATTTTAGCAGCTACTGTTTTCTTGCTTTCATTGGTACTGACAAAACTTTATGTAATCCCTTACTGATCCAAAAAATAACAAAAAAACATGCAAAGTTAATAGATGAGCTGGTGTCCTCTACTGTACAGCTAAAATTACACCCCCACGTTAAATTCCAAAGAACTCTCAGCAGATGAAGGGAACAGATGTGACTCATGAACGAGACTTGTGGGGTTACAAAGCACTTTTCATTGCAGAGTCTGATAAATAAAGGATTGTTTTACTTTGCTGGCTCTAACGGGCAAATGTGACTGACACAGCGTGATGGAAAAATTAGACCTACCTTTGACCTGAGCACTGCAGCAGGCCCCTTCACTGTGGCACTGATCCCTCAAAGCTGAAACTTCTCCCTCAAGCATCTCAAGCCGGCTCATGAGGGCTTTTAGACCGGGCAAGTGGTCGGTGCAACCGCAGGCCTGCCGAGGTATGTTGATGCGGTGAGTGAAGACAATCTGGTTCTCCCCGTCGAGCGTGTGCTCGGTCATGTGATGGCCTGAGGAGACTGGTGCATCTTTGGGATGAAGGTGCGTACTTTCTGTAGTGTCTAGGTCCACTGAGCACAAGGAACTTCCAGGAACATTAATGTTATAGACGTGGTTGAAAACCAAAGGATGATCTGCTCTCGGGAGGGTTATGTTTTGATCTTCAGGGGATGCCAAAGTCTGTCGTCGATGCCGTAGGATTTTTTTCACAAGCCCAGCATTTGATAAGGTGAGGCAAGTGATTAGGAGAACGCAGCCCAGAAGGCCTTGTGTACCCATGTTAGATGTGTAGCGCTTTATTAGTGAAATAAATATCCGTGCAAACCTCAGACAAAAGCTCAATCCTGGTTAACGGTGAATGTTCTGGAAAGACAGACAGATACATTGTTACAGCAATTTAGTATTTAATGCTTTGTAGCACAATTAATAAATATATGAGAAAACATCTGAAGAATCGTGTTATACCTGCACTAATTACAACAAACTAGCAATTGAGATGAAATGTTAACGAATTGAAAGCCATCCACAACATTCAATGCCTCACAAAGTCTTTTAAAACAGTTTTTCATAATGCCTGTCTTTCATAACTATCAACTGTACATGCGAATAGGGTTTGGTGATTTGGTGTAAGTTGACTACATGTGACTAGTTTTGTCTTGTTTAGAGAAAGACAGAAGCTTGAGAGATGGAAATCAGTGCAACATGAACATTTAGGATATGACGCAGTTATTTTTTGGACTGTTTTTTCATCGTTTTTGCTTTGCTGGTGTTAAACAGTCAAAAATAAATATCCAATAAATGTAGTTTTTGATCATTTTTGATAATCTTGTACATAGTTTGCATAATATTTTATTAAAGCCCTGCTTTTAAAAAAAACCCTATTATCAAATAATCCGCAGGTGTCCTGGTAAATCAACTTGCTTCACGGTGTTTGTGTAAATGTAAAAAATCTGCTGTTTTACTCAAAAAATTATAATCCCAGTTCTCTAGTGTCCACATAAAATTAGGTATCTGGACACCAACAGCACTATAATTTATGGGAGTAAAATGACAAGCTTCTTCCTCAGCGTGGGAAAGCCCTCTTGGATTACTCAGTGATGAGTTTCCAAATGATCTAAGTTCACACGAGATACTGAAAATCAATAATAGCCCACAGTGGCCGACTCTTCCTCATTACTGTAAAAAATTCTTCCTTCGTGGAGTTTTATGATAGTTCAAAGCTGTGTTATTGTTGCTTAACTGCATTTGCAGGCTTTAGATTTTAAATTCCTTCACTCATCAGTCAATAATCATTGCATCCCCAAATAGCCGGCAAATCAAGTCATCCAGATAGGCCCTCAGGTTCACACGCTTGTCTGCTGGCACACCTGGGAGGCAGCAAACAATACCTCTATAAAGAAGCTGCATTTCTGGCAGCACAGGAGGATTTTGTCCAGACTCTTTCATTGGTAGCAAACCTGCACATGCAAACCAGTGAAAAATTACTTCCAAAAATGCAGTTATGGACTTAAAAAGACATGTGGTGCACCTGGATTTATGTTCTCCCGAGAGTTTCTGGAAACTGTTTATTGACACAATGATCAGCTATCGCATAACGGAAAGTATCTTCAGAAAAGCTTCAGCTGAGCTTTTGCTGGATCTCAGGGTTGCCATGACTGCACATTCATATATTTATGACCAAGAAGTATTTTATCCTCTGAGACACAAAATCAAAACACCTGTGGCTGATCCTCATCCTCTTAAAGCAACACAAGAAAGCCTAGATATACATAAAACTACTTGCAGTAACACACACACACAAAAAAATAGTGAGACCTATACCAAGAACAAAATCTGCCTCACAATTTTGTAGAAAAATCTAAAGGTGGGTAACAGTAAAATATATAACCACCGGATTACCTTGACTCAAGATGTCATCTGAGCTCAGAAAAATTATAGTTCCTTGTTATTGCACATCAAGCGGTTCACTGTTAATGTGCGTGTTAACTTTGAGAGTAAAATATGAATATATTTCTTTTAAAATATGATGGACTCTCTACAGGTTGTGCTGAACCTTCCTGTGAGGAAGCACAACGATTTTATATTTGGGAAAAACCAATAAAATAGAATAAGCTGGTAAAGGAATCAAGAGTTGTTGGCTTTCGTCAAGGACTTTTTGAAACAGTGAAAACAGTTTGAAAACTTTTGCAGTGATAGCTGAATGTTTCCCTTGTTTTTTATTGTTATACTTAGATGACAGGCAGCATGGCTATCTTTAAATCGCAATGGTCGCACGCAATACAAAGGCTGTAAAAATGTTGCTACTTCAGAGATATAGGTTTGAAGGTAGGGCTTTTTCATTGGTCCTCTTTCCTTTCCTTTATCATGACCACCTTTGACCTGACCTGGCTTCTGTCCCACACCCCCTGCCAGCATTTTCACTGTTCTTCATCTTACCTGTTTAAACGCCCATATAAAATCCCAGCTTAAGTTTCACTAGGCTCTCACACATCTGGTGAGCGGCAGGATAAAGGTAGGTTACGATTAAGGTTGTAAATCTGAACTCTTGGTCTTACAATGTGTTTGTGATCTACTTCTTGAAACCTTTACAACACATATCACTTGTAATTTACAGTCAGTCTGGCAAAAAAAAAAAAAAATCTTCTTGATAATGCCCACAGGTAGCTCACTGTCACTAACATAACTGTACAATATGGACTTTTTGAAATAATAAGCAGAGGAATTCAACATATTTTTTAAGAAAATACTGGCTGGTAACCCTTTTTCATTGTAAGACTAATTGAAGTTAATTAGTTGAATTAATAAATTGTTTTGATTCATTTCTTCTAACTGGGTGCACTTTTCCATGTTGCACAGAGCAGAAAAAACATTCTTAAAATAAGAGGTGCAAGCAAGGCACGCAGTGCTTGTGTAGCGAGATCTCAAAACAGACATCAATTAAAATGTCAAAGTTAAAGTGATCCTTCTCCTTTCATCTCAAACAACATTCTGTCGTTAAAGCTTCTGGCCTGTTTGCATTCATTCATCATATAGCTATAGTTGGCAATAGTCTCTGGAAGCAGGATTAACTCCGCTTGTGTCCAATTCCACAGGAATCTGTAGTGCACCTCAGTTTTTGCAAAGGTCTTCTTTCCATTATCAATCGCTTGAGCTTGTCAAGTTGGGAAATAACACCTTTTTCTGGTTGATGTGCGTTCATAGTCCTCCATCTGTCTCTAATGGGAGATTGATGGGAGCATAGTAGATAAGCTCTGAGATCAGCTAGCATCAGTGGGTTATGCGGTAATAGAAGCAGCATTAGAAATGACTTAGTGACTGCTTGGCCAATATGTATATATAATATATAGAAGAGTTAGAATACAGTGTGAAAATGTTTTTTATTAATTCCATCAGCACGTTAACAAGAAACGCCTTGTTTTTGCTCCACTAGCATTTTAAAATTAGCATCTATGAGAAAAGTTTAACGAACAGTGTTCCTCATACACCACCTTTATTTTTCATTAATATTCTCAATTATTAATTAAATTAATTAAAATAATTGTTAATTGTTAATTAATTTTGAACAACCTGTTTATTTGTTTCTTTTTACATTAATTTTTTTTTAATATACTTTTTTCAAAATCAAGCTGTAAATCTGTGTTTGAGCTCATTAGCAGGTGTTTATTTACAAATACATGATCCTCCCAGGATCCTTTTGATTGCTGATTAAACAAAATATAAATTATTAACATAAGCTCAACCTAAAGCTTCTAAAGCAGTTATTATATATATTTATTAATCCATATAACATTGCTAAAAAAACCACAATTTTCTGCAAAGTATTTTATTTTTAAAAATATGTACCGTTTTCCACTAATAGAGTTTTACATGTTGTGAGGTGTTTTCATTGTGTTTTATTGTTACTTGTACTGAAGGAATGGTTCTAAAAAATTCTACTGCACTAATAGTAAATAGTTTTTTAGCCAGGAAGGATTGCAGAAAACGTGCAGCAAGCTGCATGAGGCAGCTGTGAAAGTGCAAAAGGCTCTGACACGTCACTCATATATCAGTAATTGTAAATTATGTGCACATTAACACTAACTTAAATTTTACATTTTAAATTTCAGACTTGAAATAACTTCAAAGGCTTTTTAAAAAGATAACTGCCAGCACATTTTTTCTTTTTTGTAACTTTTCAAAACCAGCGGAAACTTTGTTTATATAAGTGTGACCTGATGTTTTTGTTAAACTACTGAGAACGGTAGTGCTTACAGTACAATGCCAAGAAGACATCATTCAGAGAAGCCCTGGGGTTGACCAAGGACATCTCCTTTGACTATGGGACATGGGAAGACAATTTAGAGAGAAAATTGAAATAAATATAACCTGTTCACTAAGCTATAATCCAGTTCCCGTAGCTTTAGTATCCTTTCCCCATGCTGGCAGCTAAAAGGGAACTTTCCCACGTGGAAAAGAGAAACTGGGAATGTTGGCCCTGGGCTGATCACATCTGTTTTGCCTAGTCAAACTGAAATAAAGGCACTGAGGTTCTCGTCTTATGTCCATATAATAGCTCAACATTTGGCGAGCCAAAAGTGCTACTGCATGCAGATTTAATGCTAAACACAAGCATCCATTAACAGATTGTATGTGTAGCAAGTCTGGACACAGTCCGTATGGAAAACATTTGTGGTTGACAGCTTTGTGTCAGGATTCAGTCAGTGGTCAACAAGAAACGAGTGCATCCAGTTGTTCATCTGTGATATATTAACATTTCTATTTTTTCCATACATTACAAAGTACAAAGCCCGATTCTCGACAGCATCAGAAACAGCTGGAAATCATCTCAGGAAAGGTAATTAGAGTAGTTAATGTAGTTGATACAGTAAGAGAAATAGCAGCACCTCATTAGCAGATTACAAAGTTTCCCACTGCAGCATGGCAGATATTATCCTGTGGGACCAAAAAGCAGTTTCACTGTGTCTGCAGGTGAGCCTAACTAGAATGCAGACTTTCAGCAATTTCAGTAGCAGTTACTCTGTCTCTGCAAAAATAAACATTTTTTAAAAAGTAATTTTTTTGATTTTGCATGTGCTATGTTATATATGTTAATAAATGGGGGAAATACTATGCAAGTGTCTAAATGTGTCATTTTAAATTAGTTAATCTGCTGTGAGTGAGTGAAGCGTGGGCATTTTACTGTTGTGCATGTTACCAGCAGATATTTCCTCCATGAACATGCACGAACAGAAACAACCATCTGTGTCGGTCCCGCTTATTAGCAACATACCTGATTTTAGACAGTGTGGGAGATTTACAGTGTTAAAGTCTCACACTCTGACACAGTCACAGGCCTGAAACAGAGCCTGCAGTTATGTGAT